CCCGGCAGTGTGTAGGCGGACTGCCAGCAGGCAGGGAAGCCGTCGGAGAAGGCGTCCACCATCTGTGGCGAAAAGCCGGCCGCGAGGCACGGCTCCGTCCACATCGGACCGCTCAGGACGTAGGTCGATCCGCTCGCGGTGCGCAACGTCCGAGCGTCGACACGCAGCCGGATCGCAGACGAGTGCCACGGCTTGCCGTCCACTGCGGTGTCGCCCGGCTGGTCCGCGCGCCAGCCCTCGACACCGACAAGCGCTTCGCCGGCGCCGCTCTTCCCCAGGTACTTCAAGTACCACCGCGTGAGGACTGCAGTCGAGCCGAGCGAGGAGCGCGACGCCGCCACCGAGCCGCCGCGCGAGCAGCGCTCCACCACCGCCTCCCTCGGCGCCGCCTTTGCCGCCGTCGCCTTCACCTCCTCTGTCGCCTGGTGGACCGCCCTGTCTGCCAGCGGCCGCGGGGCTTGATTCAGCATTTTGAGTGATGCTGACGCCCCGGTTTCTTCTTTCTCTGCCAGTCCGCGTACGCCAGTCTGCGCCCTTCTCGTGCCAGTGTGCTGTGAGAGAGGCTTGTATTTTAAGATTCTTCTTTCTCTGGGCCGGTTTGCCTCTGCGTTCGAGGAGGTTTCCCAAAAAAACAAGTTTAATAAGACTCCCCGGCCCTGGTTGTGCGGTTACTGACTGCACTCCAAGTGCTCCACGTAAAGCAGCCAGCAGGTGCCGGACACGGCGTTGGCCGTCTTGGACCGAGATCAGGGCGCAACTGCCTGTCTCGTGGGGCTGAAGGACCGTCATGGGGTCGGATTTGATGCTGCCAATCAGTCGGGTCGATAGGTGGCGCCCCGGCGAGATGCATTGCGGGTGCTTGGCGTCGCCTGCTTGAGTGGCCTGAACGCACTCGCGGGAGCCAGAGAGCAAAGGTGTGCGCGAATTGAGGCTTCTGAGCGAGTCCAGGCAAGCCACAGGACCGGCCATGTGCCTTGGTAGTCGAGCGGTGGCCGGAGGTAGCCTCCAGTAGTGCCTCTCAGTTCGGCACCTCGAGACTGGGAGCGGCTGCCAGCTTATTTCTTTTGCGCCCATCGATGCGGACGTTGCTGCTCGCCTGCCTCGCCTCTGGCTCAGGCCGCGCCGTCAGGCTTCCCTCGAGCGGCCTGATCGTCCTCGGTGGCAGCGGCGGCCCGCCACCGGCAGCGGCGGCGGCGGTCGCGGACGGGCGGGAGCTCCGCAAGCAGCTGAGCGCGCTGCGGGCGAGTTCCGACTGGGACGGCGCGCACGGCCTGCTGTGGTGGGCGCTTCGCGAGGCTCCCTCATCGGCGGAGACGATCCACTGCAACGTGGTCCTCGCCGCCCTCTCGGACGCCGCCGAGTGGGAGCGCGCGCTGGTGCTGCTCGAGCACATGCGCGCCGCCGGCCTTCCGCGCGATGGCTACTCCTTCTCCTCGGCCATCTGCGCGTGCGCGCGGGCCGGCCAGCCGGAGGCGGCGGTCGAGACGTTCAAGGCCATGTGCGCCGACGACTCCGTCGAGCCCTCCTCCGTCGCCTTCAACACCGCGCTCTCCGCAGCGCAGCGCGCCTCTGACCCCGTCCGTGCCGCC